GGAATTGTTCTGGACAATAACATCAAATTAGCTCAAATGGCACAATGAGGCTGTTACCTCGTTTAGACGTCAGCAGCTCAACTATCACAAAAGCAGCGTAATCGCCAATTATTCATTTATGAATCTACGGGCAAAAATGCAAAATTTGTAAGATAAAATTTTGCCCACAAATTTGTTAAATTTAATTTCTCATCGGCTAAGAAAAAATATCGAATTAGTTTGATTACTTAAGTCGTATCATTTAGTTACCTATTGGAGGCATTGAGAGTTGAATCCTAGGTTGTAGAATTTCTAAATTTCTATTTTCCCCCCTCTTTTGACCAGCATCGGTCTTTTCTAGAAGTATCATTTTCTGGTTTGGAGGTGGGCCACCATTCCAATTCTCCGAGGTGTGCCATCTGTCCGCCATAGAAGGCCGCCTCCAGACCAAGTAAGGCCTATGCCATCCATTTTTTCTCTCACCACCTTTCGCGTTTTTCAGCTCCGTTTTGTAGTAGGCTTGCGTCATAACGTGGTCTGTTAATCCAATCTCGTTTCCTGCCGTCCTTTGGCATTCCAAAACGCTGTTCTTTACCCTGCTATCGTTGTTACTATCCAGATCAGGATGATCAGCTTGCTGAGGGTTGACCGATCTGACATCTACCATAAAGCTTTCGCAGTCATCATTTGGTTGTTTGACAAAAAACAGATGTGTTTTCGGTCGATTATGTCGAGCAAAATCCTTACCATCGGCTTTGTTAGATTTGAAATTGTTTGCCAATATTCGCGAATTTCGGCCATTAAATTCAAGGCACTCTTTATGATGTTGTACTCGAATGGAGACACGTCGAATATTTGTAGCGCTATGAATTCGGACGGGATTTAGTGAGGCTCGGGAGGGCGGTCTTGGAACCTGGTCAGATTTGTTGGTATCAGCATGTAGATCATTCCCAATAATTGGAGTCTTCTTTGCGACTAAGTGGTCGTCAAGGGTTATAAGTTCGGGGTTCGTTGAAGCCAGACGAAAGGTGGCACCTTCGATGCGTCCAGGGATCGGGCCCCAGCTAGCGCCAAGCCCAAATCCAGGAAGGCCAGTCAAAGTCTCACCGGAATATAGCCAAGCAGAAGTCCGGCGCCGTGGTTTCCTGTAATTGATTT